TAGTAGAGACGGGGTTTCACCATGTTGACCAGGATGGTCTCGATCTCTTGACCTTGTGATCCACCCGCCTCGGCCTCCCAAAGTGCTGGGATTACAGGCTTGAGCCACCGTGCCCGGCCTTTAAGGCATTTTTTAAATGACTATTTCTATATCCAATTCCTCCCCAAAATAATGTGAAGCAGATTATTTCACCTCATTGTAAAATAATGCCAGAACAAAGTGATAGACTACTAGCCTTTCCTTATAAAACAATGATGCCCTGATTTATAGTTTCTACACAGAAGCACTGCTATTTCCACAGCTAATTCAGGTTATTTCATATTATTCTACTCTATGAATGGATGGGTATGTGTATTTATTAAATAGTGTTGATCTCTTGAATTAAAAATTAGAAAATCACAGACATTACTGTAAGAGCTTTCAGAATCCCTAAATTTGTTCATCTTTAATGTATACATACAGGCATAGCGATGGAAAGGTTTTCCAACTACAGATATATCAAGGTGGCATTTAAAAATCTCTCAACAATTGTTACAAAAAATGGAAAAACAATATACATATAGTCTTATAAAAATAGTACATGATTAACATACAAAATATATCAGATACTCAACAAGAAACTAAAATGTCCTTAAGTCTTCAAAACCAAATGTATTTGACTAGTCTATTTCTTTTTCCTTGAAAATTTAAAGGATTAACTTCTTTGAGCAGAAAATATACTAGATTAATCAACGAGAAAACAAGAAAATTCAAGGAATTGAGAAAAGAGGTAAAACAGACAAGAAAAAGATGCACAAGCTCAAAAAGAACAAGTCTGTATATGCATCTTATGTGACCTGAATCAAGCTATTTTTCTTTGAGCAAAAATGTTCATTTTTGTGGGGAAATATTCACTAGAATAAAAGCAAGCAGATGATTATGAGAACTATTACAGGATATAATGGCTGTGGCTTAATGTGTTAAATTCACTTATTAAAAGGAAAATTTCTATGGGAAATAAGAACAAATAAAGGTGAATCTCAGCATGAGATTTTATTAAGAAAGGTACAAATTAAATAGCTAGTGATATAAAGTAATTAATCATCTTATGTTTTTTAAAAGGCTGTGGCACACTCTCATCCCTGTTTTATTTCAAAGGCTTTACACGGTAATCCTCAGGACCACTAACAATAGGTAAAAATTAGATTCAAACTGCTTTCAATAATTCTTGTTTATTTATTTTTGAGACAAAGTCTCACTTTGTCACCCAGGCTGGAGTGCAGTGGCATGATCTCAGCTCACTGCAACCTACGCCTCCATGGTTCAAGCGATTCTCCTGCCTCAGCCTCCAGAGTGCCACCACACCTGGCTAATTTTTTGTATTTTTAGTAGAGACGGGGTTTCACCATGTTAGCCAGGATTGTCTCGATCTCCTGGCCTCATGATCCACCCGCCTCAGCCTCCCAAAGTGCTGGGATTATAGGCATGGGCCACCAGGCCCAGCCTATTTTTTTAAAACAACATTTGAAAGTACAACACACAGAAAGTATAATAACCTTAAGGTGGCATAAAAGCTAGGTGTTAGAATTTTTATTTCAACTATCAAGCCAAGTTGATATTTAGAGCAGGTTGATAACTGGCCTTGTATCAGAAAACAGGGAATACTGAAGTACTGGATATTTCCATTATCCCTAGTTTGCTGCAAGATGTTACTTTTCATTTGATAGGGTCCAGAATAAAATTCACCTTAATTGATACAATGATTTTAAAGGATGTTAAAACCTGGGCTGTATTGTTTAAAAACGAAAGTTATAACATGAATGAAGAAAAAAAAATATATTACTAGAATAATAAAGCAATAAGATCATGCTACCACTGCTCCATCTTCACAAGTTAATAATTGTAAAAATCAGCCACTGTCTTGTTCTGAACCAGGTTTAGTTAATGACTATGTGGTAGTCATCACATGGAGTCACAACCTGCATTTTATAGCTCAGGCTCTCCCCTAGCCTTACTTGGAGAGTTAGGAGAGTCAAAGAGACAGATATAATTTGGACAGAGACTATGTGATCTAACAAAAATCACCCTGACCTAAATCAGCAAACAGCAAATGCTTCATCATTCATTGTAGTTTTACCTCTTGAGGAAGTTCTAGTTTAGAACGGTCAGTTCCTTCTTTTGACTGAAGGCCCATCAGATAGGGAACAGGAGCATCAAGAAAATGTAGCAGAGAAGCAGGGAGGATGGGCACATAAACATGTTGCCATTGAAATGGGAACAAAAGTGTGGTGATTCCTTCTGCCACAGTCATCAGGCGTTGATAATCTGCACAGAACAAAGAAAAAGGGAGGGAAAGAGTAAAAATAAAAACATAACTTCATTAAGCTGGAAAATGTGGATTTTAAGAAAAAAAATCTCTATGTTAAAGGTAAACGTTTCTTTGTGATCATGCAGAAAATAGTTCAGTTCTATTTCACTATAATTAAAGATTAAATGGTTTCATTTGAATAGTTTTAACGGGGTGTGGGTAGATGGGAAACATCATCACACTCTTTGCTTCTTAAAATCATAGGTATGTGAACTTATATTCTCTTAAAGTGTGGAGGAATCAAGAACTAATAAAACTGCTCCTGGCATTTATCCCACTAAAAATGTACAAGATAGAGTATAACATTATTATTATTATTTTTGAGATGGAGTCTCACTTTGTTGCCCAGGCTGGAGTGCAATAGAGCAATCTCAGCTCACTGCAACCTCTGCATCTCGGGTTCAATTGATTCTCCTGCCTCAGCCTCCCAAGCTGGGATTATAGGTGCCCACCACCACACCAGGCTAATTTTTATATTTTTAGTAGAGACGGGGTTTCTCCATGTTGGCCTGGCTGATCTACAACTCTTGACCTCAAGCGATCCACCCACCTCAGCCTCCCTAAGTGCTGGGATTACAGGCGTGAGCCAACGTGCCTGGCCAATGTAACATTATTAATCACTTTTTTATACATGCATACTCACACGATCCCCAATTCAGAGGCATTTTGCTTTTTTTTTCGAGACAGAGTCTCCCCCTGTCACACAGGCTGGAGTGCAGTGGCACAATCCTGGCTCACTGCAACCTCCTTCAGAGGCAAAATTTTTTCTTGTACAGTATATATGATCATGGCTATAGCTTTTGGTTAGCTGATTATATTTATTTCAGCCTTTATTTTGGGAGTACAAGAAGTCAAACAGATATATGCATTCACAGTCACAATTCCTATGTCTAACCCCTAACCACAAAACTATCATATCTGGGTATTCTCGAGTTAACAGAAAATTAAGGATTGGTGTTTTTGTTTTGTTTACAAGAACTAAATAATTTATCAAAATTGAAAGCTGCCCACAATAAAGTGGACTTTTAAACCACGCTGTAAAGGTTACTTTATACTTACATATGTCCATAATTCCTATGTAAAGTTTGGAAGTAGACATGTTTTAGAATTCAGATTTTTTAATTTAGAAAAGCAATATGGTGCATATACCACATACATATACCAGATATCTAGGGCAGTAACCTATAATCAAATACATTAATATTTCTGCAGCAAACCATACATGTCCCAGTAGGACAGATAATCAAAGAATATGAATAGGGTCGCTTTGGTTCATGTTTGGTTTTGCTGATGAATGAGTTACAAAAAGAATGTTTGGGAATTTTTTGGATTTGAGAATTGAAGATAATGGATTGTGGGCTTGTAATAATCCTTGGATAGAACCCATTGTGAACAAATACAGTAAAATCTTTGGGAGAAAGACTTTAGGGGAGTCTTTTTGATTTACATAAACTCAAAAAACACCTGACCAAGCATAAACAGGATGTCTTCCATTTAATTTTTTTTCTTGTGTCATTTTATAATTTTAAATGACTACCTTTTTGGTTACAAATCATCAGTTATCCACAGCCCAAGTTTACTTAAAATTTTCCTTATTTGATTCATAAAGATTGAAATTTTAGGTAAAAACCTGTTTACAGGAATAACTTCTAAAACAAATACCAGGTGGCCTCAAAGGTAGAGGTCAGTCCTATGAACACAAAGAACTTACCTAATTACCTCAGGTGGACACACACATTTTATCAGCTGAGGCCCACAGAAGAAGCTAGGCTGAAACAGCTGGTTCTGTCTGCGTAGGTGAGGCAGGTAGTAGAGGAAATCAGACAATCAGAATACCACTCTGCTAGGATAATCAGGCAGATGTTTGAACTGCAGGCAATATGGGTTTTTACCCCAGGGTTGGGCGTGGGGTAAGGATGAAAAGTTGACCTGAAACCCCTGAAGTTTGCTGGATGTAGGTGTAGAAACTGTGCCCTAATAAGAACTAACTTAAGTACTGCACTATCACAGAACTCCATTACGGCACGTGGCCCTAGTACTGTCTCTCCTCTCTGTGGGTTTCCTAAAGACAGAGTGGTGTCCATTTTCTCTGATTTTATCCATAGAAGCACAGGGCCTAATCATAGCCAGTGCTGACTAAAATTTACTGATACTACTTAATGTTACATTTTTTTTCCTCTTAAGTTCAACAGAATCCTAACAAAATGCAAAAAAAGGCACGCTAGGTGCAGTGGTTCATGCCTGTAATCCCAGCACTTTGAGAGGCCGAGGAGGGTGGATTACCTGAGGTCAGGAGCCTGGTCAACATGGTGAAACCCCGTCTCTACTAAAACTACAAAAATTAGCTGGGCATGGTGGCAGGCACCTGTAATTCCAGCTACTCAGGAGACTGAGGCAGGAGAATCGCTTCAACTGGGAGGTGGAGGCTGCAGTGAGCTGAGATCACACCACTCCACTCTAACCTGGGCAAAAGAGCGAGATTCCAGCTCAAAAAAAAAAAAAAAAAAGGCCAAGCACAGTGGCTCACACCTGTAATCTCAGCACTTTGGGAGCCCGAGGTGGGCGAATCACCTGAGGCCAGGAGTTCAAGAACAGTCTGCCCATCACTGCAAAACCCTGTCTCTAAAATACAAAAATTAAGCATAGTGGCACATGCCTGTCATCCCATCTACTTGGGAGGCTGAGGCACAAGAATCCCTTGAACAGAGGAGGCAGAAGTTGCAATGAGCTGAGATCGTACCACTGCACTCCAGGCCTGGGTGACAGAGCGAGACTCTGTCTCAAAAAACAAACAAAAACCCAAAAACAAAAACCCACCAGGAATAGGAAGAGACGGTTACTTATAGTTACATACTATGAAGACCAAATCCAGAGAAATCTCCTTAGATTCTGCTCTGTGGCCATCCACTTCAACCAAGGATTGGGGCCTTTGTTATTCTTATAACTTCAGTATTTACCACAGTATCTGGCATATAAAAGAGGCTAAAATGATATTTTTGAATGAACAGATGAGAGGGATAAGAATGTATATAATTCTGCTGGGTATCTATTACTTAAAAAGACATGCGTAGATTTTATTCCATCCATGTGTTGTGGGTGTTCTATGTCTATTCTTCTCTTCAGATCTGCATTATCTTCAAGATTGGTTGAAGTACCACATACTTTTTTTTTTTTTTTTTTTGAGATGGAGTTTTCACTCTTGTTGCCCAGGCTGGAGTGCAATGACATGATCTTGGCTCACTACAACCTCCACCTCCTGGGTTCAAATGATTCTCCTGCCTCACTTAGCCTCCCGAGTACCTGGGATTACAGGCACATGCCACCGTACCTGGCTAATTTTTTTTGTTGTTTTTAGTAGAGATGGGATTCCACCATGTTGGCCAGGCTGGTCTCAAACTCCTGACCTCAGGTGATCTGCGCATCTCAGCCTGCCAAAGCGGTGAGATTACAGGTGTGAGCCACTACGCCCAGCCCACACACTTTTTAATAATGCAATTACTCAGCAGAAACAAGACAATTCTTTTTAATTGAATCAAGAAATAAAAGGCAGAGTTTTCTTCTTTTAGCATTTTTTTAAACTGAAATATTTTAGGAAAGTCTTTTTATAATTGATACTCAAAGTGATGAATGTATAAGTTATTTTAATATTTAAGACAGTCCTCAGTTCAGCATGGCACATGAGGCTCTTCATGATTTGGCCCCTGTCTGCCTCATTCCTTACCACCACTCCATATGTATAGTAAGACCATCTGCTTGCAGTCCATGTTTCACAGGCCGTGCGCCCCTTGTATATCCTCTTCCTCTGCCCAGAATGTCCCTTCCTCTTGTACTGCCTGGGTAGGTTCCACTTTTTCCTCAGGCAATTGCTTCTTTGGAAAGCCTTCCCTAACACTTCTTAGCACCAGAGTGCTATCTACATGCTTCAACAGTACCCTATCTTTATTTCCATCACAGGAATTATTCATCTCACTAAAATGATTACAATTCTATCATAATTCTCTCTTTAGGGTCTCTCTTCCCTAATATGCCATCATCTCCTACAGAGCAATATCTGAAATTTTAAATTTATTTTTGGAGACAGGGTCTCATTCTTTCGTCCAAGCTGGAGTGCAGTGGTGCGATCTAGGCTCACTGCAGCCTCTGCCTCCCAGGTTCAAGCGATTCTCGTACCTCAGACGCCCGAATAGCTCAGATTACAGCCATACACCACCATGTTTGGCTAATTTTTCATGTTTTTTTTTGTAGAAATGGGTTTCACCATGTTGGCCAGGCTGGTCTTGATGAACTCCTGGCTTCAAGTGATCTGCCTGCCTCAGCCCCTCAAAGTGCTGGGATTATAAGCATGAGCCACTGCGCCTGGACATATCTGTATTTTTAATCTCAGAATTGTTAACATTCAACATATGACCTACTACATGGTGAGTAGCCAGTAAATGTGCTTTTATAAATTAATATGTTAACATCTAAGGCATGTAAAATGCAATAAAAGTAGATATTAAAAAAATTATGCTTGACTGTTATACAATAAAAACACACTGTCAAAAATTTGCTAAGTAGTTGCTCTGTTACAGATCCCAAGGTGGCAATGGCCTCTGCTGCCTCAGCCCCTGTCATGCTGTCCACTAGCAGCACTGTGGAGAGTAAGGTTAGCTCCTCAAGGGCAGCAGAGGAGTCTGGGTCTGGAGCTGTGCTGGCAGCACAGGAACCATGGTGGGGCAGACCAGGAGCTGTATCTAGTAAGGTTTATGCATTGCCAAGCACTGCCAATGGAGATGTGAAGCTGGTGGTATCTACTGTGTCTCTGGTGGACTTACTGATGTAGCTGGAGGATTATACACTTACGATCCTGGATGCTGTGACTGATTTTTTATTTTTATTTTTGAGAGGGAATTTCGCTCTGTTGCCCAGGCTAGAGTGCAGTGGCATGAACTTGGCTCACTGCAACCTCTGCCTCCTG